AGAGAAAGGGCCCGTCGAATGCCCTGGGGCACGTTGCTTCACCTGTTAAGTTTCTACCTGAAGAAACCAGGGGAATGTTGGTTGCACAGCATACACATTTCAAAGCTCTCCACCCAGCACCTCTTTGGGAGATCCAGTTACATCCGGGGTCAACAGGTGGCTCAAAACTCTGGTTTGGAGCAAAGGTTGAGGAATGGCATGATGCCGGGGGGGGGCAGGTGCCCTGGGCCTCCTCGAACCCTGACCTGGCCGGAGCCCTACTGGACACTCGGGACACTTTTGCAGGTAGAGGGTGGCTATTTTAAAGAGAGCCTTGGCTGTGACCCACGGAGCAGCCCCCAGCCCCCTTTAGACCGTCTCTGGGTGCCCCTCTTGGCACAGGCTGCCCTGCGAAGGGAGGGAGGCTGAGGTAAGCCGTCACCTGGTTAAGCCTCTTTTTCCGCTCACAATGGGAGCTGCGGGAAGGGCTCGAGTTTCCTTGCCCTCCTGGGCTTTCTCACGGGGCTCATCCCCGCTTCGGCCGGCCCTTTGTTTGCCGGGGTTGCTCTGCACGCTTGCAGGCTTCTCTGGGCCGGGCCGGGCGGCTCCTTGGCTTGCTTTCTGAGGAACCGTGACCGAAATGAGCATCGTGTTTACAGGAGACATTGTGAGAGGGAGTGTTGTGTAAGCCCTTTCACAAACAAGTGGAATTTCACAGGGCAAGAGCACATCCAGAGGGCAAGGCTTGGGCAAGGCAGGCAGCAGAACCCGAAGGGTGGCATTGCACTGGGGTGGGTAGAAGGGAGGGGAGGGAATTTCAAGGAGGCGGCTCACTTGCTTCCTGGCACGAGTGAATTGCCAGCAGGGCAAAGGGGAGGTTTGCGGCTTCCTGGGGCCCTGAGCAGGAAGGGGGCCACAGGGCCAGCTGGGTTCCTTCAGCAAGCAGGGAGGACGTGTCTGATGCCGTCCCTTCTGGGACCACAGCTGGGACATGAAGGCAGCCCGGGAGCCACAGCCGTGTGCCCCTGCCAGTGGAGAGAGGCGCTGGGCCATTCCAGCCACGCAGGCCACGTGCCACGGTGGATGCACCACCCTCGCCTGGAGCAAAACGAGCAGAGCCCTGGAGCAGCAGGAGGTTCCCAGCCCCTGCAGCCCACAGAAGGCGCCGCTGCCTGGGGAGAACCCTCTTGCGCACCATGCCGGAACAGACCCTCCCCAAGAGCTCAAAGGGGTGGGGGGGGGCAGCCTTTTCCTCTGAGGCCGTGTTCAGCAACACAAGCACTCACTCACAGCAGGGTGGGAAATGGACCCTTTGCCTGAGCCCCCTACCTGAGCCCAGGGAGGCGAGGCCACGGTCACAAGCTTTCCTTTAAACTCAGACAACGGCGCCCGAACTGCAGCCCCCCCCCCCATGCCAACCCTTGCTGGTTCTCCACGGGCCCGATTGCGTCTGCTGCCTTCCTGGCCCTCAGCAAGAGATAACATCAAAGTTTGACCCTCTGAGTCTTTCAGTGGAAAAATGATAAGGGACCTGTTGCAAGAAGGCAAAAAACCCACAGAAACTGAGACTCTCTTCCTTCTTCATGGAAATTGCAAAAAAGTTTTTTTTTTTTTAATTTAGAAACACCCATCCACCCCTTCCTGCTCAAAGGTGCCTGTGCAGAGTTCAAAGGATTGTTTGAAGAGCCAAGTCATCTCCCCAATGGAAGCTCCATGTTGGAAACCTTCCCGGAGTAGCCCAGAGACATCACCCAGCTGCCCCCACGCCCCACTTGGGGTCCCAAGGGATTGCGCCACACATGGGCCGAGCGGGATCCCCAGAGGGCAGGGGAGGAGGGTTGCCTTGCCGCAGGTTATGTAACAGCAGCCAAGAGGTAATTCAATCGTCTTTACATAACTGCCGTCCTGCAGCGGCCTCTCCTTCGGTATCCAGAGAGGCCCTCACAGGCGGCGGTTATATAACTGAGGATGGGAGGGAAGGGAGTCGGTGGCTGGTTCAAGGGCAGGATGCGGGCTCTCCTGACCACAAAGAGCCTCTTGGCACCCTGCTTAGTCATCCTCTTAAGAAGGAGGGAGCCCGAAGTTGATGGCAACACCACAAATGAAGCAATCGGTCGGCTGAGCTCAGGGTCACCACAGGGCAGCCTTTGCCAATCGTGGTCTTGGTGCCAAGCCCGGAGGGCAGCGGGTGCAGGCCCAAAGAAAGTGCAAAGGTCCGGGCGCCTTTGGCATCCTGCCCGTTGGGCTTCTCTGTGGGGAGAGCAGTGGGAGGGAAGCTGATCCCAAGGAGAACTTGAAGGGGGAGTTGGGGCCAAAGCAGCCCCTCCCCGCTCTCTGAGGTCTTGCAAATCACTGGCACTTGCTAGAGGCCCCCCCCCCCAAAAAATAATATCGTTCTAGCCAAGAAGAAAGCTGGCTGGCCAGGGTCTCCTCCTGACTTGGATGCTTTTCTGGGCAGGTCAATAGAGAAAACTTTGGCACATGGGCAGCCTCCCTTCCTGGCCTTCCTGGGAAGCAAAACTCAAGCCTGCCTTGCATGGAGCACTTCCAAATTCCCTTTTTTTGTTTTCCTAACTCAAAGCAAGCTGCATATTTTGCAATGCATGGGTCAAGATTCTGGTAGTCACCGTGGAAATTGTCTGCAACCCACCTGGTGCCCACAGGCATCAACTCCAGGAGTCCAGACCCCCAAAAGACACTTCCAAACCACCCGGCCTTCAGGAAGTGCCATTCGGCCATCCAGATGTTGGTCCTGCGGATGTTGCCGACCAAAAATCCCAGCATCCCCTCTTGTTCTGCTCTCTCGTAGTTTGGTGAAGGGTGTTCTCCTGGGTGGTTTCTCCACCGCCAAACTCACCAGCCTCTGAAAGGGGGACCTGCCTGCTCCATTGGGGTCCAAAAAGTCTCCGGCACGTCTACCTCTGGTTGTGGCGCTTCTGACTTCCTGCCCCAGTTATGGTGGGAAGAGGGCATAGCTCCTCTCGCACTGGGCCAGAAGCCCTCCCTGCCCAGGGAGATGCCCCCGCTCTGCCTCCCTCCCTGCCAGGTGCCCAGCAAACGTGGCTCTGAAACCCAATCTCCTTTTCCTGCTCAGCTCCCAGGTGTCAGGGCCGGGAGAGGCAGATATATAGCAGCAGCAGGGCCTGGAGGCCCCGGGTGCATTTCCCGCCTGGTCATCATGGAGCTCGGGGGCACCGTGGGCGTCTTCCTGGGCATCTGCTTCTCTTGCTTGCTGCTCGTCTCTGCGTGGAAGCGGATGCACAAAGAAGGAAAGCTGCCCCCAGGACCCCCCCCGCTGCCCTTCCTGGGAAACATCCTGCAGGTGAAAACCAGCGCGCCCTTCAAGTCCTTCCTGGCGGTGAGTGGCCCCCTCTTTGGTGCGGGGAGGAAGGCCGGTGGAGGTATCCGAGCTCATGGGGTGGCCGAGCAGAAGCTCCAGGTGGCCCAGAAGGAGCCCTTCCAAGCTCTGCTACACTCTAAGCACACACACACACACACACACACGCACACGGTTCCTCAAGTCTGTCTAGGGGTCCATGAAAAACGGGGGAAGAGCTTTTCCCCAGCCCGGTTTGGCAGCACCACAGCCAAGCAGAGCTCCGGGGCTCAAAGGCGACGCTACCCCATTACTGGCAGGCTCCCAACCACTGAAAGCCCATCAAGGCTGTTGGAATCCTTCATGGAGAGTGGATCAAACTAAATCCACTTTAGAGCCATTGGAGATCTGGGTCCTGCCTCTGGCCTAAATTTGCTGCCAGGACCCTGAGTGGAAGCCTTTCGGGAACTCTTGTCCTGGGTCTTTCCCGCAGTTGAAAGAGAAATACGGCCCCGTGTTCACAATCTATCTGGGCCCTCGGAGGGTGGTGGTTCTGTGTGGACACGACACCGTGAAGGAGGCTCTGGTGGACCAGGCTGAGGAATTCAGCGGCCGAGGGGAAATAGCCACCATCGACCGGAACTTCAATGGGTTTGGTGAGTAGACCAGGTCCAGGGCAGCCTCAAGAGAGGCCAGGTTTTCTAGCAGAAGGAGAAGCTGGCGGGAGGTTGGGGGGACCTGTGGGGAACCCCCTCATCTCCCGCCTGGCTCACTGCTTCAGACAGAGAGGGGGCTGTTTTTATGGGGCTGAAGATGTTGCCCTTGCCCTCCAGGCGTCGCCTTAGCCAATGGGGAACGCTGGAGGCAGCTCCGCCGCTTCTCCCTCACCACCTTGAGGAACTTTGGGATGGGCAAGAGGTCCATTGAAGAGCGGATCCAGGAGGAGGCCCAGTACCTGGTGGAGGAAATCAGGAGAACCAAAGGTTGGTGCCGACCAGGCTAGGCCACACCTGAATGGGGTCTGGTTCAGGGAAAGCTGCATCCTCAGGTAGCCCTTTTGTTCCCCGTCTCTCAGGCCAGCCCTTCGACCCCACCTTCTTCCTGAGCCGCACCGTCTCCAATGTCATCAGCTCCGTCGTCTTTGGCAGCCGCTTTGACTACGAAGACAAGACCTTTCTCTCCCTGCTGCGAATGATCAACGAAAGTTTTATAGAGATGAGCACCCCTTTGGCACAGGTAGTGGGCCACCCTTCTCCAGGTGTGTGGGTGTGGGCAGAAGGGTCCTCCGGTGGGCTCTCCCCCACAGACTGGGAACAGGCGCCTTCCTGCGTTGGCTCTGCTTAGTTCCGGGGCTCTGATTTTGCCCCACAAACACGCCCGGTTTCTTTTCTTTGCCTTCCAGCTCTATGACATGTATTCCTGCATCATGCAGTACCTGCCGGGAAGACACAACCGCATTTACTACCTGGTGGAGGACCTGAAGGACTTCATTGCCGGGAAGATCGAAAGCAACCAGGCGACGCTGGATCCCAACAATCCTCGCGACTTCATCGATTGCTTCCTCGTCCAGATGGAGAAGGTACCACCGGGCGTTTCTCCTCCCCAGAGAGGAGGCTGGGAATCTGGGGGACTGGAGGACGGGGCGGAGTGGGCGATCGGGGGACATTCCCACTGGAGTCCATCCCACTGGAGGCTGTGAAGGAGCAGGGAGCCGTCTCAGGATGTCCCCACCTTGGTCTTCCCGGCCCGCTTCCCTCTGCTCCCCCAGTGGTTTTGGGGAGCCGTTGCATTCCGGTTCCAGAATACCCAGCTAGTCAATAAGGCAGTGGCTTGTAAACCTGGACTTTCTGAATGCTTTCACGTTCCTCTGCTCACCATGCACGCCCCGCTGAGACAAGCCGTTTCTTCCCTCGAAGGAAAAAGGAAACCCTTCCACTGAATTCAACCTGAAGAATTTGGTCCTGACCACCCTCAACCTGTTCTTTGCTGGGACGGAAACCGTGAGCTCCACCCTGAGATATGGGCTCCTTTTCTTGATGAAATACCCAGAAGTGGAAGGTAGGCTGGCCAAACTCTGGAGCTGTTTGCACGGACTTGGCCAAGGGAAGGCGGCTTCCTCCCCACAGACTCCAGGAAAGACCGCCCCCCCCCCC